CCGTAAAATAAGATTCACGCAATGTCTCCTTGGCAAGTTTTTTCTTTTCTCTCTTGCAGAATCTCGCATTGATTTTTGTTTTGGTTATTTTTATTTTCCTTAATCATAAACCTTTTCTCCTGTCGCGATGAATATTGCGACATTTCTTGAACCTGCAGTAAATAATATAATTTTACATATATATTTCAATTAATCCATTTGTACATGTATATATGCATAAAAATACCGGATGAAATTCGACCGAGGTGCTGATGTCACTCAAAATAATTTGTTTTCGAGCGGTGTTCTCGGTGTTAAATGTTTGCGATGGTGAAAAATCGGATGCGCTTTTAGTGTGCCACAAGCCTAAGTGAGTTGTTCCCACTAAAATTTAGAGAAATTAAATATTTATCGATCCATTTCTTCATTCAAATTCGATAATATTTTTTTATCGAAATTTACCCGTAGGAATAGTGGTGTGAAACGTTTCGTGGCCATTTTGCATAATGGATATTTCTGGTCCGGTTCGATATCGGTTGTTCCTTCGTTCCTCGATTATTCGTTGATTTCTTGGCTCGACCATTTGTTCGACTATTCGCGGGCTTATTACTGGATCGGCTACTTGACGAGGCGTTCTCTCTACTCGTGAACCGTTCGAGACCTGATACGAGATCGTGTGACCACGTGGGAAGGATTCCTCGTATTCCGGAAGCGAGTAAAATTGTCTGTGAAAGATATTGATAAAAAGTTATTCGTTTTTTGCGAAAATCATGGCAATATCTGTATTTTGGCATATTTACAGTTCCCTTTGCTCGGTGACTGGTACCCTTGGAGCATCGATAAAAACAGGTTCATCGCTGTAAATTTTTAGAAAATTTATCGCGTTCGATAAAGTAGGAATTTTTAGAAAAATTATTATAATACGTCTTAATAATGTATTTACATTCGAGTTCTTTCAATTATCCGCGGCGATCTTATCGGTGTTCTCGGCGCTCTTTCGGGCGAATAATCACTGTAAATTTTATTTTAAAATTATAAAAAAGTAATCAAACTTTTTACAAGAATCATTTTCATCAATTTTGATAAGAAAAATCGTAAATGTATTTACATTTGTTCCCTCTCCTCTATCACTCTTGGTTGCATCCTTGGACTCGTCCTTCTCGTATGCTCGACGGGCATGCATTCCCTGTAAATTGTACGAGATGTGAAAAACGAGATCGACTTTGGCAAGAATCAGCCAGTTTTGATGAAACGAATACGTTTAAAAATTAATTAGATCGATTTAAGAAAACTATCTTGTCTGTTTAAAATTTAAGAAATAGAATTTTAGTCTTTTTCCAGAAAATTTTTAAATTTTTTCTTTTCTTTCTTCTTCCTTACTCAAGTCTTTTACGTTCATCTTCTCTAGGTGCATACGGCGGTCTTATAAGGTGTTCTTGACAAGGTAATAAAGGATCTGATCTCCTACGTTCCGGCGTTGAATGGGCGATAGGCTAAAATCAAAATATACACCGTAGATATAATTTCTGCAACATTTATGAAATATATAAAATATATAAATATATATTCATAATATTCATATATTATGAATATATAAATTTATAAAATATATAAAGTTTCGTATATTATACTTCTCCAAGCCTCTCCTCAAGAATTTTCAAAGTGACCATAGTTCCATCGAGAAAACCATGCAAATGTGGCATGTTCTGCTCGCAGCAATTGAAATCTTTGTCTTTGAATACTTTCCACCAAAAATTCTCATCTTCTACGAATTTTTTCAATTTTTTCATTTGTATGATACAATTGTTCAAAATTTGTCGAAAGCTATTTAAATCTGATCGGGTAAAATCTGGCGTCTGACTCTCTCCATCCCTTTGGTTTCGCCCTTCTCCTTCCCTCTATTAAACGAATATTATATCTAAGTGAGAATATTATTCATCATTCAAAGATTCGAAATCGTTAAAATCGATATAGTAATACCGATCTATTCGGATTCTGAAATCTTTCCAAATTTTTTTTTATATGCTGAATCCTATGGAGAAGCTTTTGATTGTTACTAAGTTGATCATTTTGTTGTTTCGAATTGTAATTGCACTTTCTGACAGCGCAAAGTTCTCTTTGAGGAGAGACTGGGCGGTAATTTTGCATACAACATCCTCGTTTCGGTTCCTGATAAAATGGAATGAATCGTTGTTACGTTACGTTACTCGCGTTAATCTTTCGATCGATATCGAAATCGAAATGTCTTTTTCTATTGTAAAGTAAAAAAATTTATAAATCATAAGAGAAGAAAGAATACGAAACGACGAGATAGAGAGTAAAGTATCAACTTAGGTTACGTACCATCCATAAAGGTGTTATCGCTCTTTCTATTCACCAAATTCTGCCATCGACTATGGGAATGAGGTGGAATTTTTTTTGTTTCGGATTTAATTTTATCATTATTGTCTATTTATTTGTTGAGAATCATATTTGATGATAATTTTCATGATTTCGGACGGATTTGTGTAAATTGTAGTTTCAAGTTGACAAAAATGCCATCTATTTTTCGATTTATTCACCCATAAAAATCGTTGGAGTAGCGCTGTCGATAACATCGATCCGATCGAGCCTCTCCGAGTAATCCTTCCCGAATAGTTATATATAGTCAGGTCAGTTTCACGGAAGAACACACCTTCTCTTACGTATCGTTTCGCAAACATAAATAAAGAATCATGGGTACATCGATCGAGTTGCATCGAGAAGAAAAACGACTTTTAAACGGCTCGTTTACCATAACACGAGCTGCTCCAGAAAGAGAGAGAGAGAGTAGATCTCCCTGAAATCTTATGAAACGGCTCGTAGACCCGCATAATTGCATTGTGAGAAGGGACTTAAGGGGGCCGGGCTCGCATGGCCGATTCACAATGAGGAATCGTGACAAAAAGTCAACGAGATCGTCGTTACGGAAAATCAGAATGCTCGACACCCGTGTATTTTTCCATTCATTTGCAAAAGGGAACTCGATCTCCAATCACTGCAGCCATGTTGTAAATCGAAATTAAGTCATTCAAGTGGAAAGGATTGATCATTCTTCTTCCATGATTTAATTGTTCTTGCGTTTTCGAGAGATTTTTATGAACTTTCGTTCATAGTGAAGAATCGTTGTGGGATTAGATTTTTTTTATTTAGTTCGAAGTTTATTATTATTCAAAAAATTAAGGATATATGAAAGTATATTATCTTTTGATAAATTTATTCTTCTTCAAAATTTATGGAATAAAATATTTATTTGATAATTTTTATAAAAAGGACAATTGTTTCCATGACAGGAATTCTTTCCATGAATTTCGAATCGTAAATCTTTGTTTAATCAATTGTTGGACATTCAGGCATTGAAATGGAACCGAAAATTGGATCATTCAATTGCAAAACAGGCAAGTTGGAGTCGATTTTTCAGTGTCATCCATTTCGTGCAGCATTTTCTATCTTTAAACCACGAATTTCAATCATGTGAAAAGCGTGAAAACCGACCAGGCGTCGGCTTCACCAATTTCCATTTGAAACGATTTTTCGGGATGGCTTCACGTTCACGTTGCCCACAAATTCGACGCGGGATTTTCGGATTCTCCTTTTGAAGAATCCAGCCAAATTACAAATTCTTTGAATCTCTTGCTCTAAAAAATTTAATTTATTCAAATCTCGTTCACCTTTGCATATCTAATCAAATTATCATCTTTATCCTCGCTTAATTTTTTAAAATTCAGTTTCAAAAAAAAAAAAAAA